TGGTACGCACTGACGATGGATTGATCGAGCGCCACAATAAAGCTCTAAAAAGCACCGCGTCGTGATCAGTACAAATAGAATGCAGAGTGAAACGCGATCAGCAAGAAACTCACACTACATATGATCCCTCTATAGAAAGGCAAGGTGAAAATAAAGAGTGAAAGAGACGTGTGGTTAGCGCCGATTTTGACAAGGAGAAAAGAGTAGGAATCGAGCGCCGGTCCCACCCACCCCTCAAACGTCCAAAGGGGTGTAATGGACCGGAACTGAATGGGAGGGAGGAAGGAGCGGGGAAATGCGAGGTGGAAGAAAAAGGGATGCACATGTCTTGTTCTTGTTCTGGATAAAACAGACCAGTGACACAATTGCAACCGCAATAAAGGGAGCGTGATAAAGGGAATGAGAGTAGAACACGTACGCTATGAGCACGGCCAAGCGTTTGCCCAAGAGTAAGGGCCGCCCATCATTGATCTCCGTACTATTATCGTCTGGCCGATTACTCGGGTCCCCCTCTCCTTCATTCGCGGTAATCGTGAGCGCGTCCACCGCCGTCGACTCGTCCGAAGCGCTCGAAGGAACATTATTATCCCTTAACGGTGGTGTCGGAGCCAGTAATCTTTTTTCTTTATCGTGTCGAAGATGTTGTTGTTGTAGGTGCTGCTTCTCTGGATCGCCTATGCCATTCGCCACCACCTTCTTCTCTTCTCCTTCTCCACCCACACCGGCTCCTCCACTTTTACGTCCACCCTGCTTCTTGTCAACATTTGAATCGAATCCAAAGGGTGCGGTGTCAGCCGAGGCATGCTCTTTCTCGTTCCTCGCATCAGCCGACGGGAATGGGTCTTGATGAGAAGGGGGAGAATTCGAGGTCAGCACTTTTAACGCATGCGCATGATGGTTCGCTTTGGTCGTGAAATGGATTGTAGAATTTGGAGTAGGATTGGTGGATGTGGTTGTAGTAGCGGGGATTGGGATAGGATGGTCTGCGTCCGACCCCGCTATCGCCGTCGAAGTGGACGAGTCGTAGGAGAGCGTAGGCGAGAAGAGCGTCCGACTTGTATTCTGAGAGGACCGCTTGGTACTCGTACTTTTCTGACGATCGTGTCTTTGATGCTGCTGTTGTTGTTGTTCTTGCGGTTGTTCATTTGACCTAGATGTCGAGTCCATGATTCCATTCGAAACAGTTAGCGAATAATATTATCGATTCTTCTCCCTTCTCTTCTGTTTGGTGTTTAGGTTCTCCTATTCTTAGTACCAGGGACACGCCCCCCTTTGCCTTTGCAGAATTGTCGGCTCGAGTCGCTCACGTTTACAAGATGTGTGATGGGGGCCTTCTTGCCTTCCTTTTGCTGTCGGGCCTTTGCTTCGTTGCTGTGTGTCAGAGGATGGTGATTCGTCTTGAGAATGGTTTCTATGCGTGCTGATGATTTTGGCGAGAGCGTAAGAGGGAGCGAGACGGTGAAAGGGAGATAGGGAGGAGGTAACACGACTGGTAGACACGACAAACAAGAAGCGGGACGGATGAGACGGTGACAGTGAGATAGACCAGCTCGAGAAAAGCGTGATTAATGCGAGAGTTGAGGAGAGGTGAGGGAGAGGTGAGGAGGAGGGGGGAGCCAAGAGAGAGTGAGAGCGAGCAAGAGCCTTGGTAAATGCCTCGAAGAGATATAAATTAAAATTTATTTCCTGGATAAACTAATTGAACCGAGAGTGAAATGAATAGTCGAATTGAATTGATGGCCCATCTATACATTTGTGTAACCTGTCAGTCGAAACACAAAAGAGAAAAATAAAAGCAATAAAAAAGAATGGGTATGCCACAGAAGTATAACCATCTCTGGATCTGTGAGTTGTGGCTCAGATGAGGGCGCCATGAATCTGCAGAGTGTATACCCCGGTGAATTTATCATGATGGGTCACCCATTGTGGAGAGCGACTAGCACGGATCTCGATTATCATGCTACACGCTCTCGCTTCAACCATGTAGCGAGGGTATGGCACAATAGCAGACAGATAGATCTCCGACTCTGACGAGCGCAACTTTCGCCTACCTATGCTCGTCGTGTCCAACGTCGTACGCCACCGATACGAGATCGCTAGCAGCACTTCATTTCCACCCTCTCAAAGCATCGTGGCGAGTGACCTCTACACGAGTGAGTGATGGTATCCAATAATCGCGTCCATAATTTCGGAAACATTCTTCTACGCTGCTTCTATGATACGGTACGGACCGAGCGAGTCAGTCGCGATTCGACTTCTCGTCCTTGAGGCTCGCTCTTCTGCCCACCGCATTTCTCCGCCGAACCAAACGAGCCAGCCATGAGGCAAAAATCCCCTCGCACAATCTCCACCAAAATCCACCAAATTTCTATAATTTCATCAAAATCCATTGCTCATCGCATCTGATGTGGAGTCTGGGAAACAGGGTCTCTAGTGCGGCTTCTGGATGTCGACTTCCGTTTTGGGCTAGTACGAGTCCACGCCCTGGCTTGGCCCTATCACAAATATCCAATAATCCAGCTAATAAAAAATAAAATAAAAATAAAATAAAACTGTGATGGCCGATGCCGGGTCAGTCATCAGCTAATTTTCAAATTCTGGGTTAGTGCGTAAAGATAAGCATTTATTCACAATACGATAAGCGTACGTACGAGCGCTATGTGATACGGGACCAGAGGGTCTATACGTATGTCATCGCCCAGTGTACACTCTTCTCTTCTTCCCAACTTCCCATCTTCTGAGTGTGGGGTGAGCTGACTGGTTTGTCGGCTTTGCGATATACGTCCACCGGCATCACCTCGAGGCCTGAGAGGAAGATGGCCCATTGACTACAAGGGCTCACCAGGTCATCAGCAGTTACCATTCACATCAAAAAGTATGACGACGAGGACGGAAATGGTGTTCGGATCGTAAGATACCACCAGATGTTGGTGTTTGGACGAGGAAACGCACGACGCCCAACAATCGTCGCACCACCAGGCAGACGTTTATTACGCTCAACGCATGCGCGCGCGCATAACAATGTACGCCTGAAATGGACAATACGATTTTATCTGTCGCGCGAGATCATCAGTCGTATTGATCGTACCCGACCCTTGTCACTCGACCCTTACTCGAACGAGAACGGGTGGAGGAGGGAGCGCCCATCCATAAAGGGGGAAGTTGTCGGGCGGCGGGCATGATCATTGTATAATGTTATCCACGCACACGCGACAAGTCCAGATCCGAAAACTCGTTTTCAATCTGCCGAGCCGTTTGGACGGGGACGTCCGTGTGTGGGTTAGCAATCATTAAGACGTACGTCACAATATCACCCAAAACAGTACAAATACATGTCATTTTATAAGTCATCCTATTCTACAGGTCGAGCGTTAGAGAGGGTCGGTATGTACCGAACTGTGTCATAGTCTATAGTCGTGCCGATGATGGCAAGACCCGAGGCACCATCATCTTGGCTAGAGATCCAGGCCTTGGTCCCGCTCCTTTCTAATCATTTGTCGCGGCATTGGGCGCCTCCCTAGGAACGTGGAATGTTTTGGTGGCGTCGTGGGTTATGGACGAGGCCGCGGGGTAAAGTAGTGGCACGGAGATGTCAATGCTCCATGATTACACCCGTCGCATCCGCGTTGGGTTTGTTCTTTTAATGGCACCGGTTATTACCAGGAAGATAGATTCGGTGAGCACTCTGGGGAACCACCGTGTTATGATCGTGCTCAGAGACCACTGTCATCATGGCTAACGCTCCAGAACCTGTATCTTGTCCTGATGCTGCTCACGAGGGTTGGAATATGTGTCGGTCTTGGAGGCATGGGCATGATAAGAATCGCGGTGGGTAAACTCGATGGCCGCCCCCGTGACGACTGCCGACACTGTCGTCATCTTTGTCGGTAAAGTCATAGAAGAGGAGAATGATTCGGCGAGCACTTTGCGGAACGAGAGGAACCACCGAGATGTGATCGTACTCAGAAACGCATACTCGAAAAAGCAGAGGAACAAGAGCGACGTTGGGCCCACCCAGTACTGCAGACGTAGAAATATAAGACTTTATTATGCAGAAAGGAAATATGCTTACCACGAGAGCTGTGCCTATCCTCGCGGTGAGGACGAGCTATTGGAGGTGAGACATTGATGGTACGTATCGAATTCTACTCACTACATAATATAGAAACCCATCAACGTAGAGAGCCCGAATAACCGCTTTCATCGTGCTACTCTGAAAAGTCGCTCGCGAGTAACGATACGACCATGCGTGAAATAAGGTGGCGAACGCAATAATAGACTCGATAAATATCTAGAAGCGATAAGTACCGGGTTGAGATATTTTGACAACACTCACAGGAGTTACATAAACTGCACCGAGAGCCTTGGAAGGGATCGACATGCACGTGCGGAGGACATCCGAGTAGACCATGTGAGCTAATAGGTACTTTTAGGACTTTTGTCTATACCCGAGATGAAATATACACGTACGAACGGTTCCCTGGAGCAACATGATGGTAAAGACTAGCATGCAAATGTGCGACCCCACGAGCGCCATCACTAGGAATATACGAATCTTCCTATCGAAACAAAAAGCTGTGTATAGTCGGACCATAAAGATGGCTATGGACAAAAGGTAAGTAGCAGTCGGCGGATTTCATAAGAAACGAACTCGTCGCGACGATAACTCCGATCGTCTGGCACAATGTCATGATAGTGAATTGTACTCTACATCTATATGTAAAGATATAATGAGATGGTGGTAGTAGGCATGTCGACTGGTGCTCACCTCTACACGGGATCCACAGTCCTCACGTCAGATGATTGTCTATAATCGCGGCGTCTACTCACTCGGGCAGAAAAAGGATCTCTTGGAAAAGGGTTACTGTCTAAGAGAGTGGTTAGTAAGCGGTCAAAGCTCGAACAGCAAAAGGTTGGTCGGACTCACTGGAGAGAGCCAAAGGCAAGCCCACAAGGGGGAGATATCGGTTCTATTTACACTTGTTTAGTTTCGTGCATGGGCGTTGATCGAAAACTTACTATCAAATAGATAATCTTGATGAAAACACTTCCCCTCGTCCACAAGAGAGTCAACTCGTCATCCAACGTGAGGAGAATGTCGTAAAACCATATGACAGTGCCAGCCAAAAGTGTATAATCCGATGCTTGAAAATGAGCGAAGAGCGTTATGATATGGTCCAGTCCAGAAATGGGCATAGTTGGGAGACAGCTCCCGTCTTATACGAGTAGCCAAGCAATGCGGGGACCAAGTATCAAAGACGTGTTGACAAGCAAACCCCCCGCATTATATCCTTGGTTCGAGGCGCGTCGCTTATTATAGACCGACGGCCCGTTTGAGGGTTTTAACCCTGAGCGGCCAATAGGGAATGGCCGGGATGGATGTTGTTCAATCCTGTTTAGCCTTTCTCGACGGCGATTGCGTAGGTTGAAACTCGGTTTTTGAAATTTGAGTTGCGCCTCGACTAGGACTGTATTGACGGCATTCACTAGTCGGGCCTCGTAAAGTCTCTTCTTACGAGGTAATAATACTGGGTCTCTGCGGACTAGGAGTAGTCTAGGCGGCGTAGATGGGTAGACTACTGCGCAGCTCTGCGGTTTATCGTGGAACTCGAGTACTATAGGTCCGACATTACGACTCAATTCTATGTTTGTGTCAGTTGAACCTTGGGATCTGAATAGTTACCCACCGCGGCATCTCGCAAGGGTTGTAGTCGAGTCCGAAGTGTGGGCCGCTCATCGGCATGCCTGCTTCTCTTTACTCAACCGACCGTTCTTCACTTCTTCGCTGACAATCGCCAACTAATAGAGAAGATGTTTTTCAAAACACGTATGCTCGTAGATTATTCGAGCGGGATTTCTTCGTAAACTCTAAGCATCTTTCCATAAGCATGTGCAGAGAGAAAGGCGAATAAACCGAGAAACAGCGAGATTAAGGAGCTAAATAGCAATTTTTTATTGTTGAACTCAAAATCTGCACTGATTTTAGCTAAATCAAGTCCATACTCCTCTACAAGCCACTCCGTTAGAGGTACAAGACATGATTCGGCGAATATAAAGGTGACACAATCATAAAAGACATCACAAGAAGTTCGATATAGTATATACGCTCGAGACATCGGTGACATCCTCCCTTTTTGGACCTTTGAATTAGCACGACGTGATCATGTTCAAATCACTATCACCTTGGTGAGGGGTCAGGGCTCGTCCCTTCTCCTGATACAAATCTAACGTCAAGTGTAGAGTTTATGAAGGATACTCTACGAGAATAACATCACGGGTTGCGGGGATGGGGTTTGGTAAACTCGACGATTGCTTGCACTGATGTCGTTTTGTCTCGGTTGATAAACATTATAGTCGGAAAAATTATAGAAAATATTGTTTTGGTAGGTAGCTTAGTAAAGCAGAAAGTTAGGAATAGGGAGAGAACAATGAATAATGATAGTGCACGTACGAAGCATCCAAAGTCGAACTGGCTATGCAAGTCCACCATCTAATCAAACGTTTTTTTTCATGCCATTCAACCTGAACTAGTTGGTCACGAATGAGTCCAACTAGGATGTTCAATCGCCCGAAGATTTGGTTTACCATTAACCAGTGAACGCGTCGAGGCCTGTAAAGTGTGGTGATACCAGATCCAGTTTAGTCCCCGCACCATATTATCAAGTCAAGTGCGAGCAATGGCAATGACGCCGATTGGTTTATCGTTCGAACCCTATGGCGTTTGCGCACACGTTTAAGCAGATTTAAATCCTACGAATCAGCTCTGTGACCACGTCAGTCGACCATGGTTAACTTTGATATGCGTGCATTCTGCCAGTCCCGCATTTCAGGGTTGTAGTTGGGTCTAAAGTATGTAAACGCTTCTCTCTGACCCCTCACTCCTCTCTACATCTTTTTTGAGAGTTAGACTAGAAGAGAGACCCACGATAAATTTCAAAAATACGTACACATCCA